AAGCAAGAGTAATATCAGAGGGGCCTGGAGACGTGACTGACGAACAAAGAAAATGTTATTTTAGAGCCAGGAATGTCTGCATTGTTCATTCTGGACCTTATTTTGAAATTGTCATATTTTTTAATTTCCGTGAAATTGGCCAAATTGCAAATTTCTGACCACATTATTGGGTAGTTGAAATCGGTAAATGGGCCGTTTCTTGTACTCAATCGATAGAAAAAATGGAGTTCTAAAGAAATAGCTATGAGTTTGGTCGACTGCAACAATGGAATTAGCCGAAAATTGGGCTCAAAGTGGGCGAAATCGCCGATTTGTAAATATTGCCGAGGTCGCTAACTTTGCAAGAGTATAATTTCGTCAGTTTTCCATCAAATTTTGTGTTTTTGGTGTCATTACAATCGGGAAAAGATTCTCTATCATTTCATAAGAAAAAATAATTTTTTTTTTTTCGAAATTTTGCGAAACCAGGAGACACCTCAGGATTGGGGGTTGCGACAGTCAAGGGGTTAATTCCCCATAATTTAATCTCACCCCTCTCCCGGACACCCTAGCATTTACTTCTTTTACAACCCCATCTATAAATATATTAACCCTTTCAGGGTCCAAGGCCCAAATCTGGAGTCACGCACCAGTGTCCAAGAATTTAAAAAAAAAAATTTGTTATTTTTTCTTATGAAATCGTAGAGAATCTTTTTGTGAAGGTAATAAAACAAAAAGTACGAAATTTGGTGGAAAATTGACGAAATTATGCTCTCGCGAATTTTGATGTGTCAGCGACATTTACGAATCGGTGATTTTTGCCGACTTTGACTCCCATTTTAGGCCAATTACATTATTCCAATCAACCAAATTCTTAGCTATTTCACTAGTATTACTTCTATTCTATCGATTGAGCACAAGAAATCGCCAAGTCAACTGTTTCAACTACAAAATAAAGTGATGGGAAATTGTTAATTTGGCCAATTTAACACAAAGTTCAAAATATTCCAATTTCAAAATAGGGTCGAGAATAAACAATGTAGGCATTCCTGGCACTAAACTAACGTTTCCTCTGTTCATTAGTGATGTTTTGAGGCTTTACAAATAAATTCCATTTTTATTTTTATTCACATAATGAATTTTTATTCACACCAAAAAATAGAAGATTTACTGTTATGCAAAACTGTAATAATTGTATAAATATCATCACCATATTTGTGAATGTATATTAGACCCACCAGCTGACGTGTATTAGACGTGTGAGGTCGTTTGTTTACTCTTGAATATCGGCAAAAATTTAACATTTCCGCTACTTTGAGCTCAGTTTCAAGCCATTTCCAGTGCTAAAACCAATCAAAATCATCTCTATTTCTGTAATATGTCTTCCTTTTCTATCAAATGAGACCAAGAAATCGCAAATACAACTATAAAAAACATACGAAAAAACACTGCAAAGTTGCTGTTTTAATCGAAAAATCATGATTTAAGTTTTTTTCTCTCATTATACACAGTGTGCTGCAGGATCTGTTTTATGTGGTGCACACATACCACATAGATGTATTCTCTCATATCTAGGCCCAAATGTACCACTCACAGTTTATCAGAGTGAGCTGAGCTCATGGCGTAGATCTACGGTTTGGACCCTGAACGTAAAGCCGTAGATCTACGGGACGGACCCTGAAAGGGTTAAACAACCATGATGACATTAAGCATCCCCATCTAAGACCTACTTTTACTGGGAAGTAGACTTCCTCTCTTCTACACACCCTGACCTGAGCCTCACTATCCTCATAAAAACTCTTAGGCTCAGGTTAGTAGTAGGTTGGTAGACAGCAACCACCCAGGGAGGTACAGTGGACCCCCACATACCGTTGGCCTTACATAACGTTAAATCCGCATACCGCTACATTTTATCGCTAAGATTTTGCCTCGCATATCGCTAAAAAACCCGCTCAACGCTGTTCGTCCGAGACGCGTCTAATGTGCGCCCTTAGCCAGCCTCACATGTTCCGCCGGTGGCATTGTTTACCAGCCAGCCTCCGCGGTAACATCCAAGCATACAATCGGAACATTTCGTATTATTACAGTGTTTCTGGTGATTTTATCTGCAAAATAAGTGACCATGGGCCCCAAGAAAGCTTCTATTGCCAACCCTACAGGAATAAGGGTGAGAATTACTATAGAGATGAAGAAAGAGATCATTGATAAGTATGAAAGTGGAGTGCGTGTCTCCGAGCTGGACAGGTTGTATAGTAAACCCCAATCAACCATCGTTACTATTGTGGGCAACAAAAAGGCAATCAAGGAAGCTGTTCTTGCCAAAGGTTTAACTGTGTTTTCGAAACAGAGATCGCAAGTGATGGAAGATGTTGAGAGACTCTTATTGGTGTGGATAAATGAAAAACAGCTAGCAGGAGATAGCGTCTTTCAAGTGATCATAAGTGAAAAGGCTAGGAAGTTGCATGAGGATTTAATTAAAAAAATGCCTGCAACTAGTGATGATGTGAGTGAATTTAAGGCCAGCAAAGGTTGGTTTGAGAGATTTAAGAAGCGTAGTGGCATACATAGTGTGATAAGGCATGGTGAGGCTGCCAGTTCGGACCACAAAGCAGCTGAAAAAATATGTGCGGGAAATTCAAGGAGTACATAGACAGTGAAGGACTGAAACCTGAACAAGTGTTTAATTGTGATGAAACAGGCCTGTTTTGGAAGAAAATGCCAAGCAGGACCTACATTACTCAGGAGGAAAAGGCACTCCCAGGACATAAACCTATGAAAGACAGGCTTACTCTGTTGATGTGTTCCAATGCTATTGGTGATTGCAAAGTGAAGCCTTTATTAGTGTATCACTCTGAAACTCCCAGACCATTCAGGCAAAAGAATGTCCTCAAGGCTAATTTGTGTGTGCTGTGGAGGGCAAACAGTAAGGCATGGGTCACTAGGGACTTTTTCTATGACTGGTTACACCATGCATTTGCCCCCAATGTGAAAGATTACCTAACTGAAAAGAAATTAGAACTTAAGTGCCTCCTGGTGTTAGACAATGCCCCTGGTCATCCTACAGACGTGGCAGAGCGACTTTATGGGGACATGAAATTCATTAAGGTGAAGTTTTTGCCTCCTAATACCACTCCTCTCCTGCAGCCCATGGACCAGCAGGTTATTGCAAACTTCAAAAAACTGTACACAAAAGCTCTGTTTGAAAGGTGCTTTGTAGTGACCTCAGAAACTCAACTGACTCTAAGAGACTTTTGGAGAGAGCACTTTAATATCCTCAATTGTGTAAACCTTATAGGTAAGGCTTGGGAGGGAGTGACTAAGAGGACCTTGAACTCTGCTTGGAAGAAACTGTGGCCAGAATGTGTAGACAAAAGGGATTTTGAAGGGTTTGAGGCTAACCCTGAGAGGAGTATGCCAGTTGAGGAATCCATTATGGCATTGGGAAAGTCCTTGGGGTTGGAGGTTAGTGGGGATGATGTGGAAGAGTTGGTGGAGGAGGACAATGAAGAACTAACCACTGATGAGCTGCTAGATCAACTTCAACAGCAAGAGGCCAGACCTTAGGAAACTGGTTCGAAGGAGGGGAGAGAGAAATTGAAGAAATTGCCCACTACAAAGATTAAGGAAATCTGTGCAATGTGGCTGAAAGTGCAAACCTTTATGGATGAAAATCACCCTCACACAGCTATTGCAAGCCCTGCTGGTGACTATTACACTGATAATGTTGTGAAACACTTTAGGGAAGTCATAAAGGAACGAGAGGTACAGGCCACTATGGACAGATATGTTGTGCGACAGAACTCCAGTGACTCTGAAGCTGGTCCTAGTGGCATTAAAAGAAGAAGGGAAGTAACCCCAGAAAAGGACTTGACACCTCAAGTCTTAATGGAAGGGGATTCCCCTTCTAAACACTAACACTCTCTCCTCCTCCCATCCCATCAATCATCACCAGATCTTCAATAAAAGTAAGTGTCATGTAATTGTGCATGCCTTTTTCAGTTTGTGTGTATTAAAATTAATATTTCATGTGGTAAAAATGTTTTTTTTTCATACTTTTGGGTGTCTTGCACGGATTAATTTGATTTCCATTATTTCTTATGGGGATAATTCATTCGCATAACGATAATTTCGCATAACAATGAGCTCTCTTGCACGGATTAATATCGCTATGCGGGGGTCCACTGTACTACCGTCCTGCCAAGTGAGTGTAAAACGAAAGCCTGTAATTGTTTTACATGATGGTAGGATTGCTGATGTCTTTTGTCTGTCTCATAAATATGCAAGATTATAGGTACGTCTTGCTACTTCTACTTACACTTAGGTCACACTAAATATACATGTACACGTTTATTTATACACACTCGTCTGAGTTTTCTTTGATTTTATCTTAATAGTTCTTGTTCTTATTACTTTTCCTTTTATATCCATGAGAAAGTGGAATGTACTCGTTTACTGACTACTTAGACTTATGACGGGCTCTCTGACCAGTTTGCATACCTAAATAATGTACAGTGGACCCTCGACTAACGCTATTAATCTGTTCCTGAGAGCTCATCGTTAGTCAAAATAATCGTTAGTCAAGTTAATTTTCCCCATAAGAAATAATGGAAATCAAATTAATCCGTGCAAGACACCCAAGAGTATTGAAAAAAAAAAAATTTTAACACATGAAATATTAATTTTAATACACACAAACTGAAGAAGACATACACAGTTACATGACACTTACCTTTATTGAAGATCTGGTGATGATTGATGGGATGGGAAGAGGGGAGTGTGTTGATGGTCTTAGTGTTTAGAAGGGGAATCCCCTTCCATTAGGACTTGAGGTGGCAAGTCCTTTTTCGGGGTTACTTCCCTTCTTTTAATGCCACTAGGACCAGCTTGAGAGTCACTGGACCTCTGTTGCACAACAGATCTGCCCATAGAGGCCTGTACCTCCCGCTCCTTTATGACATTCCTAACGTGTTTCACAACATTGTCAGTGTCACCATTAAACACTTGTTCAGGTTTCAGTCCTTCACTGTCTATGTACTCCTTGAATTCCTGCACATATTTTTCAGCTGCTTTTTGGTCCAAACTGGCAGCCTCACCTTGCCTTGTCACACTATGTATGCCACTACGATTTTTAAATCTCTCAAACCAACCTTTGCTGGCCTTAAATTCACTCACATCACCACTAGTTGCTGGCATTTTTTTAATTAAATAGTCATGCAGCTTCCTAGCCTTTTCACATATGATCGCTTGAGAGATGCTATCTCCTGCTATCTGTTTTTCGTTTATCCATACCAATAACAGTCTCTCAACATCTTCTGTCACTTGCGATCTCAGTTTCGAAAACATAGTTGCACCTTTGGCAAGAACAGCTTCCTTGATTGCCGTTTTCTTGGCCACAATAGTAGCGATGGTTGATTGGGGTTTAGTGTACAGCCTGGCCAGCTCGGAGACATGCACTCCACTTTCATACTTAGCAATGATCTCTTTCTTCATATCCATAGTAATTCTCACCCTTTTTGCTGTAGGGTTGGCACTAGAAGCTTTCTTGGGGCCCATGGTGACTTATTTTGCAGGTGCAATCACTAAAAAGGCTGTGATAATATGAAATGTTCCGATTGTATGCTTGGAAGCGACCGCGGTGGCTGGCTGGCTGGCTTGTAAACACTGGCCAGAAGTGGACGCGTCTCAGACGGAAGGAATAGTGTTGGTCGAGTTTTTTAGCGCTAATTGAGGCAAAATTTTTGCGATAAAATGTATCGCTAGTCAGATTTATCGTTAATCGATGCCATTGCTGTCGAGGGTCCACTGTATATTAGAACTGATTTCCTCTATTCAATTTATTAGAGTACACTACTGTATAAACATTTAAAAATATACTAGAAATATTATGAATGATGCAAAGGTGACAGTAAAACAATAACAAACATGGTTGACACAAACTCACTACCATTATTGTATGCTCCTCACTTTGCGACAAATTTGTTTACCGATGAGGTCTCAGGAACGGAACTCCACCGTTAAGTGAGGAGAGGCTGTATGCTAGTACTACACATATCTATTTTCATAGAATAAACAAGGCTCACTTGTACAAGCCTCACAACATCGCTCTCCTTTGTTACACTCAATTTGCTTGATCTTGCTACTTAATTAATCCCATGCCACAAAACCTGGCACTCTTTCTTCCATTTATGACTGCTTACCTTCTCAGTCTCACTAATGGTACTCCACTACACTAGGCACTGTATCTTCCTTTCATGAGAGTGCTTTACCATGCTGTGGCTCTGTAGTGGAAGTATAAAAAATAAAATAAAAAAAACTTGCCTCACACAGAGCATGACAGAAACAACTAACCCTTGACCTTGTGTTTGGATTAAAAGAGCAAATGTTGGGGATTTTCGTGGTTTTATTGGCTGCTTTCTTTTTCTTTTTTTTACTTCTTACAACAATCTGGCCGTATCCCACCGAGGCATGGTGACCCAAAAAGAAAAAAAGTTTCTCTTTTTAACTATAGTAATTTATACAGGAGAAGGGGTTACTAGCCTCTTGCTCCCAGCATTTTGGTTTCCTCTTATGACATGCATTACTTACGGAGGAAGGATTCCTCTCCACTTACCCATGGAGGTGAAAGAAAAAAAAAAAACACTAATAAGAAAACAGAAGAAAACTCAGATGAGTGTGTATACATATATGTGCACATACATGTGTTAGATAAGAGTGAATGGAGATGAATGGTTTTTGGGACCTGACAAGCTGTTGGAGTGTGGGCAGAGTAATATTTAGTGAAGGTATTTATGAAACCAGTTAGCTGGACTTGAGTCCTGGAAATGGGAAGTACAATGTGTACACTTTGAAGGAAGGGTTTGGGATATTGACAGTTTGGAGGGACTTCTAAACTGTCGTATCTGAGTGCCTCTGCAAAGACAGTGATTATGTATGAGTGAGGTGAAAGTGTTGAATGGTGATGAAAGTATTTTCTTTATGGGGATTTTCTTTCTTTTTGGGTCACTCTGCCTTGATGGGAGATGGCCGACTTGTTGAAAAAAAAAAAGTGTGACCTAAATGTAAGTAGAAGTAGCAAGGTGTACCTGTTATCTTGCATATTTATAAGACAAAGAAAATACACCAACAATACTACTAATGTGTCAAACAATTATAGGTTTCCATTTCACACTTATTTGGCAGGACGGCAGTATCTCCCTGGATGGTTGCTGTCCACTAACCTACTATCTATAAAGTTTTATGACTTTGTAAAATATATAACAAAGAAACCCAAGGTCTACAATATATAGAATAATGTTAACTTAGTAAAACTTAGTTTGTCTTGCATTTGAGTACAAAGCGAAGTAAATATAAATTGCCATTTTTTCAGATATGGGAAAGAGATCAAAAGTAAGACTTCTTTAGCCAAAAGGGCAGAAAAAGTTTTGGCTGGTGGAGTAGATGATGGAGAAGGTAGTGAAGATGAAGAGGACATAGAAGAGGAGCCTGAGGGTCAGGAGGATGAGGATGTTATTCTCTTTCAGAAACTTCATGGGAACATGACTCAGCAGGTTGTTTACTATAAAATGTTTCCACTTTATACTTGAGTGGAGATGATAGCAAGTCTCTCATACCCTAGACACTTGTATCTGTTGTACTACCTCACTTCAAATACACAAATTTCCTGATATTAATGAATTTTTGCACCAGAAAATTCAGAAACTATACTGTACGTCATTGCCATATTTATATAAATTATTTTAAAATCTACTTTCACACTCACTTCTATATTGCTCCACATGTTTTGTAATTTAAAAAAAAAATATGAATGAGGAATTTATTTTTTTCAAGTCTGTTTCCCACCTGAGCAGGGTGATACAAAAAAAAAAAAAATTCACTCCCACTAATTCAACAGTTGTTTTACCATTGATGTGCAGATGTAGCAGTTCAAACTACCCTCCAAACTGCAACATCACTACCCCTCCTTTTATAATTAACTAAATATTGTTTTAGGTATAGAATGATTATAAAGTAGATTATATAATAATAATAATAGTAATAATAATAATAATAATAATAATAATAATAATAATAATAATAATAATAATAATAATAATAATAATTTTATTTCTTTGTAAAGGTTACAATGTGTAATTACAATTTTGATTTGCTAAGTACAAAGATAGCCACTATCATGCCAAGGCATTTTGGGCAAACTAATCCTAATGCATAGTAACTAATTTTAAACTAGATAAGATAATAGTACATAGTAATTATTACTTAAAACTAAACATAGAATAGTGGTTAGCTGTTTTACAATCTTGTTTGGACTTAAAAAATCTTATGTATACTTAATACAAAATCTAATTTACGAGGAATGGTGCAGGTGGTAATATTTTATGGAATGGCAGAATTAAAAAGCCAGGAGGTCATATGATAAAACTAGCCAGTAGGTGTTTGGTTGATTTGGTTAATATTGTGAGATAAGATGATTTTTTAGCAGAGTCCTAAATTTATAAGTTGTCTGGGGATCCTTGACTTGTTCCAGTAGCGAGTTCCAGATCTTTGGGCCTTTTATGTGCATAGCGTTCTTGCATAGTGAGAGTTTTACTTGAGGGATGTTGAAAAGGGCCTTATGCCTTGTATTGTGACTGTGCATTCTGTTGTAACTGTCGAGGAGTAGTATTTTTTTTTGGGGGGGGGGGGGGATTACAGTGGAGTTTAAAGTTCTGTATATGTAGTAGGCACAATAATAAGAGTGTATGTCTTGCATATTTAGCAAGTTGATTCTTTTGAAAAGTGGTGGGGTGTGCTGTCTAGCACAGGAGCTGGTTATCACCCGCACAGCAGCTTTTTGTTGGATTATTAAGGGTCTAAGGTGGTTGGCTGTGGTAGAGCCCCAGGCACAGATACCATAGGTGAGGTAAGGATATATTAGAGAGTGGTACAAAGTAAGGAGAGTCGTTTGTGGTACATAATAGCGTATCTTGGAAAGGATTCCTACTGATTTGGAAATTTTCTTAGCTGTGTGATGGGTATGGGACTGAAATTTAAGATTACAGTCAAGGAGAAGACCTAGAAATTTGCCCTCCGTGTGTTTTGATATAGGGGAACCATTTAACAGTATGTTGAGTTGAATATTTGAGGCTCTGTTGCCAAACTTAGTGGGAGATAGTATAAGCAACTATTAGTAGAATGGTGAGCTATAATGAGGCAGGTTGAAAAGGCATGGAGTAAATTTAAGAATGCAGTGTTACAATGCACAGCAGTGTTGGTTATAGGAGGGTGGGAGGAGGAATGATTGATGTAATGAGGTGAAGAGGGTGGTAAAAGAAAAAGTTAGCATGTGAGAGGTTTTTGCAAGGTAAAGATAACACGGAAAACAGAGTACAGTGGAACCTCTACTTGCGAGCGCATCCACGTGTGAGTTTTTCCAAATACGAGCAGTCAATCGGTCGATTTTTTGCTTCCATATGTGAGCGAAATTTCCATAAGTGAGTGGGCCTCAAGGGAGGTACCTTGATGCTGGTGAGAAGTTCTTGCTCTTGATCTAGGGAATTGGATCTCACTTGTTTGTTGGACTATCTTATTGAAACCTGGACAATATATGATGGAAAGATGCTTCCTAACGTACACCAAAAAATGAAAGAAATCGGACCATAAATAATGGAGTTCACTTCTCAGCAATTAGCCTCCCCTTAGTGGTATTTTCATGTGGTTTTTATGGTTGTATTCTCGTTTTTTTTGGTCTCATTTGATAGAATGGAAGATGTATTACAGAAATAGATATGATTTTGATTGGTTTCATGACGTAAAGTACCTTGAAATTGAGCTCAAAGTAGGAGAAATGTTCGATTCTTTGTCAGTCATGAATGGGTTGACATTATTTATACAGTTATTACAATAATGCAGTAGTCTGCATAACAGTAAATCTTCTATATTTTGTGTGAATAAAAATTACAAATTATTTCTTTCTTTCAACACACCGGCAGTATCCCACAAAGGCAGGGTGGCCCAAAACGAAAAACGAAAGTTTCTCTTAAATTTAGTAATTTATCTGGGAGAAGGGGTTACTAGCCCCTTGCTCCCGGCATTTTAGTCGCCTCTTACAACACGCATGGCTTACGGAGGAAGAATTCTGTTCCACTTCCCCATGGAAATAAGAGGGAATAAACAAGAACTAGAAAGAAAATAGAAGAATACCTAGAGGGGTGTGTATATATATGCTTGTACATGTATGTGTAGTGTGACCTAAGTGCAAGTAGAAGTAACAAGACATACCTGATATCTTGCATGTTTATGAGACAGACAAAAGACACCAGCAATCCTACCATCATGTAAAACAATTACAGGTTTTCATTGTACACTCACTTGGCAGGATGGTAGTACCTCCCTGGGCAGTTGCTGTTTACCAACCTACTACCTAGGTACAAATTATTTATATTGTAATAATAATATAATAATAATAATAATAATAATTTGGGAAGTACAATGCCTGCACTTTAAAGGAAGGGTTTGGGATATTGGCAGTTTGGAGGGATATGTTATATATCTTTATATATGCTTCTAAGCTGTTGTATCTGGGTGCCCCTGCAAAAACTGATTTTGTATGAGTGAGGTGAGTGTTGAATGATGATGAAAGTATTTTCTTTTTGGGGATTTTTTCTTTTTGGATCACCCTGCCTCGGTGGGAGACGGCCAACTTGTTTAAAAAAAAAAAAAGTATAATAATATAATAATATAACAATATTAATGTAATATGTATAATAATAATACACGTATAATAATAATGTATTATATAATAATACATAATTATAATAATAGACGGCTTCAAGAAGCTGTCACTAGATGGCAGTGTTTACCACAACAAAGCAGGAGTGGCTGTGGCTGCCACCACCTGTTACATAATGACATATTTTATTCATTCTAGAGTATATATCAGGTTTCTATGTTGTTTATATTGTTTATTATATCATATTAGTTGAACTGTGATAGGTAAATAAGCTGTAGAGTTGATATTAGTGAAATTATTGAAGTACAGAATTCCACTGGAGCAGATTAATTGCATTTCAGTTGATTTAAATGAGGAACATTGACTCTGCAAACGAGCAAATCCAGATGCGAGCAAGATCATGGAATGGATTAAACTTGTGAGTAGAGGTTCCACTGTATATGGAGAGAAGAAAAGAGAGGTTAAATGAGTAGTGAGAGGGTGGAAAAGGAAAGAGATTAATCAGTTGAGATAGGCTTGGGAAGAAATGGACCTAGCAGTTGAAAATGAAAGAGGGAAAGATGTTAAATGGGGAGGGGAAAGTGCTGGAAAGGAGAAAATATTTTGAGCCGTTCTTAAATATTAATGAAAGGGAGGTGATGTATGTATTGGGCAGGTAGGAGTATGGAAAAACTGGAGGTGAATGTTGGAAAGCTTCATTCAGAAATAAAAGGTAAAGTAGTTGGGTCTTGTAAAAGCAAGTTGGGATATATTTTTGAATTGGTTGGTGTGTATGTTCTTATGTGCACTCAAGAAGGGAAGGCACCTATGGATTGGCACAGAGCATGTGTAGTTTCTTTGTACAAGGGGAAAAAGGGACAGAAGAGGATGTAAGACGTGTAATGAAATAAGTCTGTTGAGCATACCAGTTAGTATATGGTTGAATGATTATTGAAAGTTTTGGATGAGACATGATAGGATTGCAAATTAACAAAGGTTTTATGGATGAGATACATGATTTGGTAGATAGGGAAGCAATGTGGCAAGTGTTGCAAATGTGTGAAATAGATAATAGGGTACTAAAAACAGTAAAAAGTTTTTATGTAGAGAGAGAGAAGTAGGCTGTAAACAATAATGTGTGATGTCATCATGGAATTTGATATATTATAAATATATTAAACAGTCATGGAGTTGTAAAAGGGTGTTGGTGAGAGGTGTGGGATTTAAAAATTGTCAATCTGATATGAAGTGGGACTGCAGAAGATCAGTACTTCCATGTACTTCTACATGTGGATCATGCCAACTTTTGTCCTGTGAAAATTTGTACAGTCAACTTTCAGAGACACTAGGGTAAAACTGAGAGGGTGAAAGAGTAATGGTTTGGTGACCTAATTAGGAGGAGGCTAGAAGTAGTGGAGATGTCATGTATGAGAGCAGTGTTTGGTGTGAATATTACACAAAAAATTCAGAGCATAGAAATTGTAAGACAATGTGGGGTTATGAAAGGTATAATTCAGAGGACATAGGAGGGGTTGTTGATGTAGTTTGGGCATTTAGAAAGGATGGAGAAGAATAAGGTGACCAGGATGGGGAAAGAGGAAGGTAGGAGTAGGGATTGTCCCAGGAAGGGTTGGAGGGAGGATGTGAAGGAAGTTATAAGTGGTAGGGAGTCATGAACATCCAGCAAGCAGGTGTGAGCATGTTAGATTAGATTGAATCTGGGTACGTGGTATTTTGCTATTGGACATCCTGTTGTAGTGTGAGCAAGGTAACAATTTTTGAAAGGATTCATAGAAACTAGTTAACTGGACGTCAGTCCTGAAGGTAGGGAATACCATGCCTGCACTTTAGGAAGGATGAAGACGATGTAGTTGTGATGTATGCACACTTTTAACAAGACAGTTATTGAGGGGATGATAATTTTATTTTTTACAACCCTTCGTTGGTGTGAGATGGTCATTATGGTAAAGAAAATATAAATATTTTTAATGTTTCAGGACCGGTCAGCAGTTTTCAAATCTTTTAGAGAATCAACTGCTGGTGTCTTAATGTGCACGGTAAGTTGTAGCTGTCTTAATTATTGTAATTAATAATCAAAAGTAATATAGATTATAAACTCAACTCCAATAAAGTAATTTAAAATTACGAAGCAATCTACAGTTAGTGCATACAGCCTATGCAGTGCTTATTAAACCCTGTCATCATGTTATGAATTACCTGCTGAGTTTTCTGTAGCCTAAAATAAAACTGCTTTAGAGAGCATTTGGATTACATTTTTTTTGTAAAATACAGTCAGGCTTTTTTATCAAGCACTTACATTCTTTAAAAACATACTTAATTCTTTTAAATGAATTATGTTGCATAAAAGCATTTTGACCTGGGAGTCATAGGATCAAAAGTGTGGCAATTACACTTCTTGTATTATGACAGTTGAGAAGTGTAACTTTTTTATATTTACTGTGTACATGTTATGTCCATGTTATCTTGATTATTATACTATATACACTACATGTGATGCTGTCCTTATTTGCTACAATATACACAATGGGTACATGTGATGTCCTTTACTACAATATTTACACTGTGTACATGTGTTGTACTAGTTTGCTACTGTGTGTACACTGTATGTATGTTGTTCTTTTCTGCTGTAATTCATACAGTGTATATGTGATGTCCTTGTCTGGTACAGTATATACAATGTCTGTGTGTTCTTATTTAGTACAGTATATGTATTGTGTAACCTAGGTAGTAGGTTGGTAGACAGCAACCGCCCAGGGAGGTACTACCGTCCTGCCAAGTGAGTGTAAAACGAAAGCCTGTAATTGTTTTACATGATGGTAGGATTGCTGGTGTCCATTTTTCTGTCTCATGAACATGCAAGGCTTCAGGTAGGTCTTGCTACATCTACTTACACTTAGGTCACACTACACATACATGTACAAGCATATATATACACACACCCCTCTGGGTTTTCTTCTATTTTCTTTCTAGTTCTTGTTTATTTCCTCTTACCTCCATGGGGAAGTGGAACAGAATTCTTCCTCCGTAAGCCATGCGTGTTGTAAGAGGTGACTAAAATGCCGAGAGCAAGGGGCTAGTAACCCCTTCTCCTGCATAAATTACTAAATTTAAAAAGAGAAACTTGTTTTTCTTTTTGGGCCACCCTGCCTCGTTGGGATACGGCTGGTTTGATGAAAAAAAAAAATGTATTGTGTAAATGTATATGTGATGGCAGTGTCTGCTGTAATACAGTATATACATAACTGTATATGTAATGTATGTATTAAATCTCTGCAGTCTATGATGGTGAGTTACAGCGTCACATTACTGCTAAGGAGCAAGCTCAAGCGATTCTTTGCTGCCTTGAATCCCGGTGTACTTTTCTCTTGCTTACTGGGTTAATTCTCAATGTTCTCTTCCAATACACATTTGTCTCATCAGCATTAAACACTTAGTGTGGTTAATAGCAACCCTTAGAAATAATGGCCTGCAATTCAGCAGGGAAATTTCCTTCAGATGCAGGCACTGTGCACCTGTCTTGGTTTTTTGCTCAGTCCACTCCTTCAATAATTTTTCTGTCGTATTTAGCTGTTGAGACCTGTGTGTCATTCTTTTCAGGTCACAACCAGGGTTACTCATTACATGCGCTTGAATTTTTGTCTTATTCCTTTTAATTGAACGAACTGATGCTTCATTGAGACCCTAGGTCCTCACCATCTCCACCACACACGTGCACCACTTTTAAGCTTATCTAATATCTCAGTTTTCTTAACACCAAGACTTGAACACTTGCATTCCTCTTGGGTGCTATGGTTGCTATGCAAACACGAGATATTATGATGAAAAGATCCATAATTGATTCGCAAAAACAGGGCTGAGTATGTTTTTTTTTTTTTTATTATCACACTGACCGATTCCCACCAAGGCAGGGTGGCCCGAAAAAGAAAAACTTTCACCATCATTCACTCCATCACTGTCTTGCCAGAAGGGTGCTTTACACTACAGTTTTTAAACTGCAACATTAACACCCCTCCTTCAGAGTGCAGGCACTGTACTTCCCATCTCCAGGACTCAAGTCCGGCCTGCCGGTTTCCCTGAACCCCTTCATAAATGTTACTTTGCTCACACTCCAACAGCACGTCAAGTATTAAAAACCATTCGTCTCCATTCACTCCTATCAAACACGCTCACGCATGCCTGCTGGAAGTCCAAGCCCCTCGCACACAAAACCTCCTTTACCCCTCCCTCCAACCTTTCCTAGGCCGACCCCTACCCCGCCTTCCTTCCACTACAGACTGATACACTCTTGAAGTCATTCTGTTTTGCTCCATTCTCTCTACATGTCCGAACCACCTCAACATCCCTTCCTCAGCCCTCTGGACAACAGTTTTGGTAATCCCGCACCTCCTCCTAACTTCCAAACTACAAATTCTCTGCATAATATTCACACCACACATTGCCCTCAGACATGACATCTCCACTGCCTCCAGCCTTCTCCTCGCTGCAACATTCATCACCCATGCTTCACACCCATATAAGACTGTTGGTAAAACTATACTCTCATACATTCCCCTCTTTGCCTCCAAGGACAAAGTTCTTTGTCTCCACAGACTCCTAAGTGCACCACTCACCCTTTTCCCCTCATCAATTCTATGATTCACCTCATCCTTCATAGACCCATCCGCTGACACGTCCACTCCAAAATATCTGAATACTTTCACCTCCTCCATACTCTCTCCCTCCAATCTGATATCCAATCTTTCATCACCTAATCTTTTTGTTATCCTCATAACCTTACTCTTTCCTGTATTCACTTTTAATTTTCTTCTTTTGCACACCCTACCAAATTCATCCACCAATCTCTGCAACTTCTCTTCAGAATCTCCCAAGAGCACAGTGTCATCAGCAAAGACCAACTGTGACAACTCCCACTTTATGTATAATTCTTTATCTTTTAACTCCACGCCTCTTGTCAAGACCCTCACATTTACTTCTCTTACAACCCCATCTATAAATATATTAAACAACCACGGTGACATCACACATCCTTGTCTAAGGCCTACTTTTACTGGGAAATAATTTCCCTCTTTCCTATGTACTCTAACTTGAGCCTCACTATCCTCGTAAAAACTCTTCACTGCTTTCAGTAACCTACCTCCTACACCATACACTTGCAACATCTGCCACATTGCCCCCCTATCCACCCTGTCATATGCCTTTTCCAAATCCATAAATGCCACAAAGACCTCTTTAGCCTTATCTAAATACTGTTCACTTATATGTTTCACTGTAAACACCTGGTCCACACACCCCCTACCTTTCCTAAAGCCTCCTTGTTCATCTGCTATCCTATTCTCCGTCTTACTTTTAATTCTTTCAATAATAACTCTACCATACACTTTACCAGGTATACTCAACAGACTTATCCCCCTATAATTTTTGCACTCTCTTTTGTCCCCTTTGCCTTTATACAAAGGAACTATGCATGCTCTCTGCCAATCCCTAGGTACCTTACCCTCTTCCATACATTTATTAAATAATTGCACCAACCACTCCAAAACTATATCCCCACCTGCTTTTAACATTTCTATCTTTATCCCATCAATCCCGGCTGCCTTACCCCCTTTCATTTTACCTACTGCCTCACGAACTTCCCCCACACTCACAACTGGCTCTTCCTCACTCCTACAAGATGTTATTCCTCCTTGCCCTATACACGAAATCACAGCTTCCCTCTCTTCATCAACATTTAACAATTCCTCAAAATATTCCCTCCATCTTCCCAATACCTCAAACTCTCCATTTAATAACTCTCCTCTCCTATTTTTAACTGACAAATCCATTTGTTCTCTAGGCTTCCTTAACTTGTTAATCTCACTCCAAAACTTTTTCTTATTTTCAACAAAATTTGTTGATAACATCTCACCCACTCTCTCATTTGCTCTCTTTTTACATTGCTTCACCACTCTCTTAACCTCTCTCTTTTTCTCCATATACTCTTCCCTCCTTGCATCACTTCTACTTTGTAAAAACTTCTCATATGCTAACTTTTTCTCCCTTACTACTCTCTTTACATCATCATTCCACCAATCGCTCCTCTTCCCTCCCGCACCCACTTTCCTGTAACCACAAACTTCTGCTGAACACTCTAACACTATATTTTTAAACCTACCCCATACCTCTTCGACCCCATTGCCTATGCTCTCATTAGCCCATCTATCCTCCAATAGCTGTTTATATCTTTCCCTAACTGCCTCCTCTTTTAGTTTATAAACCTTCACCTCTCTCTTCCCTGATGCTTCTATTCTCCTTGTATCCCATCTACATTTTACTCTCAGTGTAGCTACAACTAGAAAGTGATCTGATATATCTGTGGCCCCTCTATAAACATGTACATCCTGAAGTCTACTCAACAGTCTTTTATCTACCAATACATAATCCAACAAACTACTGTCATTTCGCCCTACATCATATCTTGTATACTTATTTATCCTCTTTTTCTTAAAATATGTATTACCTATAACTAAACCCCTTTCTATACAAAGTTCAATCAAAGGGCTCCCATTATCATTTACACCTGGCACCCCAAACTTACCTACCACACCCTCTAAAAGTTTCTCCTACTTCAGCATTCAGGTCCCCTACCACAATTACTCTCTCACTTGGTTCAAAGGCTCCTATACATTCACTAACATCTCCCAAAATCTCTCTCTCTCCTCTGCATTCCTCTCTTCTCCAGGTGCATACATGCTTATTATGACCCACTTCTCGCATCCAACCTTTATTTAATCCACATAATTCTTGCATTTACACATTCATATTCTCTTTTCTCCTTCCATAACTGATCATTCAACATTACTGCTACCCCTTCCTTTGCTCTAACTCTCTCAGATACTCCAGATTTAATCCCATTTATTTCCCTCCACCGAAACTCCCCTACCCCCTTCAGCTTTGTTTCGCTTAGGGCCAGGACATCCAACTTCTTTTCATTCATAACATCAGCAATCATCTGTTTCTTGTCATCTGCACTACATCCACGCACATTCAAGCATCCAAGTTTTATAAAGTTTTTCTTCTTCTCTTTTTTAGTAAATGTGTACAGGAGAAGGGGTTACTAGCCCATTGCTCCCGGCATTTTAGTTGCCTCATACGACACGCATGGCTTACGGAGGAAAGATTCTTTTCCACTTCCCCATGGACAATAGAAGAAATAAAGAAGAACAAGAGCTATGTAGAAAAAGGAGAAAAACCTAGATGTATGTATATATATATGCATATGCATGTCTGTGAAGTGTGACCAAAGTGTAAGTTGGAGTAGCAAGATATCCCTGTTATCTAGCGTGTTTATGAGACAGAAAAAGACACCAGCAATCCTACCATCATGCAAAACAGTTACAGGTTTCTGTTTCACAGTCATCTGGCAGGACGGTAGTACTTCCCTGGGTGGTTGCTGTCTACCAACCTACTACCTATGGGATGCATATGCATGAAGCACTGAGGCATGAGAGGTTTTGTACATCAAATGTAACTAGGCCTCCTCTGTAAAGACAGTGGCTGGCCTGGCCCACAGGCTGGCTACCCACAAGCCCACAAGATGGAGGGAAAAGCTTCCACAGGCCAGTCCTCTGACACTGTATTTCCCCCCCCCCCCCTAAAGCTGCAGATGTTACAGCATCACATGTAGCAACAATAAATATAAATGTTGCAGCTTTACATGTAAAAACATTATAGTATGTAGATGTTACAGCCTCACATGTGACATATTGTTTTATGTAGATGTTACATCTTCACTTATGACATGACATTAACCTTGTTTTTACACTTGTATCAACTGGTTTATCGTTATTATTACTTTCCTCATATTCATTCTTTTCATAAAGTTATAGTAATAAACTTGTTTTACTGCAGAATAAGTTTCAGGTGATTGGTGCACTTGTAGGTCTGCCATTTATCAACATTTTAGGGGTTGTTTTATTTGAAAACCTAACATTTGTCTTAGTTTAATCTTTATTTTGCAACTGTTGCACAAGTATGTTGCTCATCATTGTCACCAGCAGCCTCAGTACAAAATTATGTTTCTCACAAACCATGTTGCAATAAGTTAAAAATTTAATTAATAAAAGTTGAAAATTTAATTAATAAAAGTCACATGCACTCTTCTGATTGAAAGCAATAAAATGCTGGGGATAATTTGGTCATCACATGGCTGTCTCCTCAAGGTCAGGCCCAAAAAAATAATGGCACTTGATTCCCTTGGGATTTCCCTAACCTGAAGCTTGACTCAGTTGACATTCTGGCCATTTCCGAGTTATTGTGGACAGAGGTAGAGTGTAGGAAATGGTGATAATCAGAGTTGACAGAATTTAGTGTAATAGTGTTGCATTGTATTTTGATTGGCACTTAATTGTGCTTGACAGTTTTTATGCTAGATGAGAAAAATTTTGGTGTGTTTATGTCTTAATGTTCAATAAATAATTAAACAAAAATGCTTGTTACATAAAGGTTTACTGTAAATAAAGTACTGTAAATAAAGTATTCATCTACTAATCATATAAACTGATTCTTTCCGACAGGATGTAGCATCAAGAGGTTTGGATATGCCCAAAGTTCGGTGGATTGTACAGTTCAATGCTGCTTGCACAGCTGCAGACTACGTTCATCGTGTTGGTCGTACTGCTCGTGTTAATGCTGCAGGTTCAGCCATAGCCTTTCTTGCTCCAGCTGAGGCACAATACATTCAGATGCTTGAACAACACCAAATTACGTAAGCTTGATATTTAATTATCAATTTTTTTTTTTGTATTAGCGCTTAGTCAGATGTTCATTCTCTTGTCATTATGTATGTAGATGGAAGCATATTATGCTATTACACTGTTTTTTCTTTGTTTTGCAAATTTTTTCATTTGGGAAACATTAAAAAGCTTGTTTGTTCTGCTGCTTGATCATGGGAAGAGGGACCCACAGTGGAATTATATTATTTGTATTCCTGTCAAAAACATTAGCTTTGGTCATTCACAGGAAGAGTTGGCCATGAAAAATTTAGTCATTTTTGTAGTATTGTTGGCACTCCACTCCTGTTTTCATTTAGCTTGAAGCACAACTCATAAAATGAAACAAATTATATAATTCAATTCCAAATATACTTGCTGGATTTTTTATGCTTACCCAAGTTGACATGTCAAACCAGACATTTTTTTTTTTCTGAAAATATTTCCTGTCAGTGTTGCACATCTAAAGTTGTTTTTCCTTGTTTGTCCTCGGTGACCCATAATTAAAGAAAACCCCAAAAAGAAAAAAAAAACAAACTTTCATCGTCATTCAACACTTTCTCCAT